CAAACTGCTTCAATTCACAATGAACAGTTATCAAATCAACCGCCACCAAGAAATCCCATTCATTTTCCTCCACTCCTGAAACGACCTCTAGCAGCAACTCGATCATAATTTCAACCTCAAGACTTATCAAATCTAATTTCTAATATTACAACTCAATAATAAATGCTATTATCCCCCAAATTGAAATTATAATTCATAACATCTTAGAAAACCTTAACTATTGGACGTAATTGCGGAGAACTGTAAAACTTATCAATTAGAATGCAAATGGCATTAAGTCTCAGGAAGATGAATTCATATACTTCATAAAGAGTAATAAAATTAAAATATTAGTAATCACGGAAACCTATTGTGGCGTCGTTAACACGAGGGCCAGAACCGTTAGGTGAAAGCACGCTGCAGGGGAGGAAAGGGTTGAGCCTGAACTGTGGATTTTGCGCTCTGGCAGTTGACGCAGACAGCGTGGCAGAGCCAAAAATAACCATAGGCTGTAAACTCCTAGGAAGCTAGCTAGCGAGCCCTCGCTTGCCGACAGCAAGCGAGCCTATCTAGTGAACTTGTGTGGTGGGGGTGTAGCCCTCAACTATTTAACGCGGCGCCAACTGCGCCCGCGTTCTCATTCAGTTTACATCGGAGAGCGTTGTACGAGTAGGTACAAGGAGTGTAGGAGTGTGGGAGAGATGTCCGGAGCGTAAGGGCCAGACGATCTCGCGTGCTGTAGGCACACGGTCCGCCACGACCGGTTTAAATTTTGGCGTCAGGCCATGTGACGTTAATTGTCACGGGACGGAAGTCCGACAGCTCGCATCACGCGTGGCTTTTATTTTTCTGCGGTAAAGCAGGGTACTGGAAGGAAAAGGTTGCCGGAGTGTTTAAATTTAGCAATTTATTGTAACTTGTCTATAACATTTTAATATACTATTTTTATTTTGTTATTTGAATTTATTCTCATTTCACTACGTCACACTATCTTTCGCCGGGAGAAAGATTCATTATCCTTTGCTACAAAACGCATAGAAACGACAGGATATCACAAACTGTGTCAGGTAATTTAGTAATTTTTATATCTTATGCCGTTAAGCACAGGAAGATTCCTACATAATTTTCGCCAAACGAAACAGAATAAAAATATTTTCAAATAATAATGGAATAGTAATAATATCTGTATACAAACCATCAAACAAAACATTTCCTTGTTACGGTTACAAAAATAGTTTTAACAGCCATCCCGAACTAATAATGATAGAAGACCTAATTAGGGAACGTACAGATTCGGAATGTCGTATCACTATAGCCCAGGGGCAAAGACTTTTTTATTTAGCTCAAAATAATAATATTTGTATATTAGCTCCCACAGCTGTGACTCATTTTCCATACAATTCAAATATAGTTTCAATTATTTTAAATATAGAACTAACTGAAAGTATACATTTTTCTATATTTCCAAGGTTATTTCACGACCTTCAGGCAGATCAAATCCAATACTAGTAACGTTTTTCAAACCAATAGAAGAAATAAAATCAAAAACGAATGTAACAGCAAGAGTAAACTGGCCCAAATGTTCATATCTAATGCAAGAAAACTACTTATACTCCAGAAATGTTAAATCTATACCAGATCTAGAATTCGAAATCGGAAAATTTAATACAGCTATCAATGAATCATCAAAACAAGCTTCGAGTGTTAAAAGCAGAAATTATGCTTGCAAGAATACGCCCATTCCAATACGGTTATGAAATTTAATAAAACCCAAGTGAAACCTGAGAAGATAGCAAGAAACACGTAGACACATCAGATCTAAACTAAACAAATTATCACTAATAGTAAAATTACAGTTAAACATATTCAGATATTCCATTTTCAACAATCAATAAAACACACATTCATAGACTCAAATTCAATTCATCTCAAGTCAACAGTCAGACCAATCACGGGTGATAAAACTGAAGTACTCCATAAAAATCAATAATACAAAAGCCTACTCATGAAGAAAAAACTGAAATATTAGCTAATAACTTGGAGCGATTTTTCCCATCTCATCCAATAGCAGTGTCAACCCCAGATAAAATTCTCTCCCTTCATCAGAAGTGTCAAAAGTTATTAGCCGTTTAAAAACGAGAATATCGCCAGGGTATGATAAATAAAAAAAACATAAAGTAACTAATCAAGTACACTATTGCCGGACTCATGACAATATTTATGCAATCTTACGCCTAAATGAATTTCCAAATGCATGGGAAACCGCCATCATCCTACTTTTGGCAAACCAGGAAAGTATCCTAGATGGAAAGAAAACTACAGACCGATCAGTTTGCTTCCCACCATATCAAACATTTTTGAAAAATTGTTGCTCAGACTTAATAAATACCTTACAGAAATAAAAGCAATTGCCGATTAACAATTCGGCTTTAGACCTAACCATTCATGCCCGAACCAATTACTGAGACTAACGAAAAATGTTGCCCAGAGCTTTGATCAAAAGAAACACACTGTAGCAGTTTTTTGCACAGGCGTTTGAGAGGATCTGTCCCGCAGGACTAATGTATAAATTACGTAGTTTGAGAGGCCCTGATTACATTTAAAGATAATCCAGAGCGTTCTTACAGACCGAAATTGCATTTTAAAAGTCAGCGAAACATTATCAACCCCTCGAAACACATCAGCAGGCTTACCTCAGGGCTCTGTACGCCCTCCATGAATGTTTACACTTCAGATATCCAACATATGTCAGACAACAAATTAGCTCTCTTCGCTGATGTCGCAGCCTTTTTTACTGTTAACGAAGGCATATCGAAGACACTTATATCGTAGATAGATCAGTAAAGAATAAAAATGAATCCAGAAAAATGCCAAGCCAAAATACTCCCACTTCGTGAACCAAAACCTCCCCCTAACTTAAAAATCAATTTCAGCCCGATTCAATGAAATACTGGCCTAATTAAATATCTTGGTGTGGAGATATTCCCTAATAGATATAGTTCATATTACGTTCAAAAATATTTATTTGCGAGATAAGTGGGTACTGTGAGACCTACATGAACAAAATAGGGATTTTATGCTGAGTTTTGTTTAATTATTCGAATTAATTTTGTTTCTTAGATGTAAAATAAAAATAGTTTAATACCACGTAAAGAGCTACCGTTGTCTAGTTTCTTAACTAGTACCAACAGATCGCGTGGCCACGGAATGAATATTTGAAGCATAAGATTGAACATAAAGCACTATTACACAATTAGTACGAGCAAAATCATAAAAAGTAACATTACAGACATATAACTAAGTATTTTTGTATAATGTACAGACTAATAATGGCAAAAATTTCCATGTTTGAGGGTCGAAAAGTCTTTAGTAAATTGGGCAACGCCGTAATCTCCTGGAGATTGGCATGACTGCTCTGGGCTCATGCTTCTTCAAAGTTTCGTTGTTTTGAATCACTCTGAATACTGTTTGTTTCCTGGTGGACTCGCGATAAATATCACAATCCAATCGAATTAGAGGAAACTTTATTTCTGAAGCGAAATTTGAGAGATAACGAAATAAGTGTCTCAATATCACGAGAAAAGTGACGAAATAAAAAGTTTTCAAATATTTTTTCAATGTTTGTTTCTCTCTAATTTTTTCTTGAATTACCGGAGCCAATTGTAATACAAACCAGAGCTTATTGGATTGCTTAACAAGATCAACAGTTTGGTTCTCTCCAACATTGTATAAAGATTTATAGTTAAGTTGACAGAAATCGTAATCACGGACTCCTATTGCTCCTTATTATCCTTATCACAATATTTTTTGTTTTCCTGTTATTCCCCTCTTTTATTTTTGCTTAATTAAACTGTATGATCAATTTTTAATGTTTTAATACTTTTGATTGAAGTTGTAAAACTATTTTTGCAATTGCAATGTGCCATATTCTTTCCAGCGGTGCGATTATATAATTCATAGAAAATATTTGCTTGTTTTCAGTATCATTTTATATCATATTATGATATTGGTTTAGATGCAGATTATTGTGTAAAGTACATATGAAACTAAAGCTCCCAGAATATCCAGAGGAATGTATTATACCCGCACGTTTTCTTGAGCCCCGAAATACCTATACCCACTCCTTTGCCAACACTAGTTGAATTAAGAATAAATGATAGCAACTAGCGTTGTAGACAAAATGTGATAACCAGAAATGTTCGCTTCCGTGTAATAGAAACTATTTTGCATCGAAAAAGGAACTACAAATTTGATACAAAATTCCTTTCGTCCAACTCCCCAATCCTCTCGCAACTAGCGAAGCGACGGCTCAAGAAATCTTGCGCAGATAATACGAACTTTTGTAAGGTCTTGTCACTCGATTTGAATGAAGCGCGTTGCGCGCGCGGTGTTGCCGAGTTGCGCCTCACAGCCCCGACCTTCTAGAATGCCCGCGAACATCTCCCTTTGGACTGATTTAGCCCTATAATTTTGCAAAATTCTCGCATTTAAAACGGTAGATTTCCTTTAATGTGCGCATATTGATTCTTCGCGACGCTAGCTACCAAAAGAAGAGTTTTTAAAACATGTTCAACTGTTAATTTTTTAACAATTTTAAAATTTTAGGTCAGATCTGTCAGGTTACCATAAGAGCCCGTGTTAAAACAACAAACTTTATGGTCTTATTACGCGAAAACTACACGGTAAAATCGATTCAAACTCTACCAGAACATAGAACAACCACTAATCTTTCGATTAATAAAATAGGCAGGTTAAACGTAACATTTATCTCCTTCTAACCACCTTAAGGATTCAATGCATCTCCAATAATACAGTAATATCTAGTACATTAACAATGCTTAAACGTTTTTATCATGAAAGAAAAATAAAAAACTTACAACATTGAAGGCAATGTATGTTATTTTGAGACCCTGGTCACTTATAAATAATTTTAAAATTAAATTGGAGGAAATTTCTGCACTCAAATGAAAGTCGTAGTATGTGTGATACAACTGAAAAATAATAGTGAACAATTCTCTCAGATTTTGATTATCTAAAAAGCTTATTCGAGTGACAAAACATCTCACTTGGTCTCTGAAAGGTTATAGAAAGTCTTTACATTTTATTACTGATGAACTAAGTCAATTACTTATATTTCCCATAACTATCTTATGTTCGTAACAACTGTTTTACAAACATAATGAACATGTTTTCATTTTTAATAAAAAATATATTTGAATACATTGTATCTTATTAAACATAAAAAGTGTTAATGATCGATATGGTTTTCATAATTTCTTGTTTAAACTTAAAAAAAAATAATATCCTGTGTCTCGTATTGTATGAAATCTACAAAAGCATACCTTCCAATCTCGTTTGGTTGTTTTAAGCGATTTTATTATTGTACTTTCAAGTGTTGATTACAATAAGTATTTTTAGTTTTCTATTGTACTCGTTTCTGATTAACAAGGCAAATTATGGCGTCAATATTTTTAAATTTTCCAATAAGTTGTATAAATGTGTTGCGATCATTTCTGAACATGCCTGACGAGCGACTAAATATATCGATTTGAACGAGCGTAAAGGCGATATCGATAGTCGACGTAGGCAACGGAAGCCTGCAGTACCTTAGGTGGCTGGCATTTGCTTCAAAATGTCGCGCACGCGAGGTCATGTATTTGTACGCTCGTCTGTGTCATCTACTGTTCGCGATGAACCATCAACATCTCGGTCTTGTGATAGGCCATTGCTGACTAATAATAATGATGAACCGTCATCTAGAAATCGTGAAGTACCATCATCGAGTGGAAATCATGAAGAGTCATCATCGAGCAGAAATCGTGAAGAGTCTGCATCGTGGAGAAATCGTGAAGAGCCATCATCGAGTAGACATCGCAAAGAGTCTTCACGGAGCAGAAATCGTGAAGAGTCATCATCGAGCAGAAATCGTGATGAAGCACCATCATCTAAGAAACATAATGTACATCCTGATAAGGCTTCATCATCCAAGAAATATGATGAATCATCATCGTCTAGGAATCACAATAGACCTTCATCGTCTAAAAATGCTCCGCCCTCGTCGACTAGTAGTCGTGTTCGACCGATATCTTCTACGAACCGTTATGAGACTTCGTCTGTGTGTCGGAGTACTTCTCATAGACGTCGTAACCATTCACCATCTTCATCGAGAAGTCGCGGTCATTTATCAAGATCTAGGAATCGCGATAAACACTCTTCGTCTAAGAGACGCGATTCATCTCCGCCTAGAAGTTGGGATTTGCCGTCATCTTCTAGGAGACGTAGAGACTCGCATAATTCACAGTGAGTATAATTCGAAATTGAATACTTTGTCAGTGTTTGTTTGTATGTCAGTGACACGATCAGCGTAACAAAAATTGGTGCATTTGAGAAACGTTTGTAAATATCCTATTTTCTCCACTATAGGCCCCCTCGCTTTCAGCCTCTCTCAGATTTTGTAAATGACGATTTCAGAACGTTTTGCTTGCGTATTCAACACATTGTATATGGTTCGTTGCAATAATATTCTTTTAAAAGTGCTAATTGTAACATTGTTTCAAAAATGAAAGATACTTTTTGACATATTTCGCTTCATTTCGAGATTATAAAGAGCAAGCCGTTTTAAAGCATGCATCTTGTCGGATAGTGTGATGTACGCACGTGCATTAGACGAACTTAAGAGAAAATTCAAAGTGCAATGTCAGTGAATAATTTTATTTAAATTCTGATTCAATATAAATAATTTAGTGTGTTCAAAAAGTGCAAAATCACTAGAATTTTAGTTAGTATGTTCTTGCTAATAAATTTTTTCTTGGCTCGTTAGCCATCGTAGTAATATGATTTTCATATCGGTGCAAATGGTGGGATAAATAAACAGTTGTGTCCATCCTTCTCTTAATATTTCGTCTTTAGTATCTTAAAATATTGCATTCAAACAGACTTAAATTTTCACGTTACTGCGAATGTTTGAGAGAAGTATGTTGCATTGCGGAAAAAAGCATCATATTTCACCATAGTGCCACTTGCAGGCTACGTGAGACTTCCTTTATTTCAGAACTCATATTTCATTGATGACGCATTACGTGGGTGTGTATGGCCACTCATTCTGAGGGGATGAACGTCACGATGAAAATTTCCTAAGAAGTGTGAAAACAGTTTTTGGAAATCTGATAATTCCTTGCGCAGATGCGTGCCTAATTATAGTTAAAATATTAACTGATGTTGTATTGTACAGCTATGTATAACATATATAATTACCTATATAATGTACTACCCCCAGGTGACAAAAGTCATGAGATAACATTATGCAAATATACAGATGGCAGTAGTAATGAGTACAAAAGTTATGTGTGCATTGGCAGAGCTTTCATTTGTTCTCCAGTAATTCATGTGAATATGTTTCTGATGTGATAATGGACATACGACGGAAATTAGAAGACTTTACACGCGAAATGGTAGTTGGAACTAGAGACACCAGGAAATTCAATTTTCCGAGATCCACAGTGTCAAGAGTGTGCCGAGAATACCTAATTTCAAACATAGCCTCTCATCACGGACAACGCAGTGACGAACGGTCTTCATTTAATGGCCGAGTGCAGCGACGGTTGCGTAGAGTTCCCTGTGTTAACAGACAAACCAATTAACGGTTAACCGCAGAAATCAATGTGGGACGTGCGACGAACGTATCCGCTTGGACAGTGCGGAGAAATGTCTTTAGTGGACTGTGGCGGAAGAAGAGGGACTCGAGCGCCTCTGCTAATAGCACCACATCTTCTGCGGCTGGGTTCGTGACCATATCGATTGGATCCTAGATACGGGAAAAGTAAGAGTACGGTGGTAAGAGTACGGTAGGAAGGGTTCGAGTGTGTCAAAGACCTCACGAAGCTATGGGAACGTGAAAGTGCGGGAGTGCATGTCGGAAAAACTTGCATTTCTTAATACAACACATTTAATTAAAATTAAGATGATCATGAGCGTGAATATGGCCATACAAATGAAATAGCTGATTAAAGACCATTGACAGTTTGTTAACCTTCGCGGCTTTTTGAATTAATAGATACTAGTAATAATTTCCTTCCCAACAAATGGTATGGCGACGTGTTGACATTACATTTAGAAGCGGGCTCCCTTTATTGGCAGTCTCGCGCGCCTTCTCAGCGGGTAAAGGAGCGGACGGTGATCCAACTAATAATCACTGATAATGTTCTTACTGCCGTACTGTATGTATGGTTTGCACCACGAAACAGTTGGGCGACGAGCACGCGCCGCCACAGGTAGCAGAGAGGCTGAATGGCTGGCTGGCTGTTTTCCTTTGGCTATACTGCTCAGTCCTCGGTGCACATTTAGCTCTCGCCTTCAAACGAACCCTTGATCTTTATTTCACCCGCCCTAAAATTTCATCAAATCAGGAGCTGGAATGGCAGAGCAGTACCCTAACAAACGGGACACGGCCGATCGCGCGCAATCTTTTCTTCCTATTCCCTGTTCTATCCTCACCCCTTGCCTACACAGTCTTACATTAACACAGTATATTTCAGTTACTCAGCACTACGCCATCACACATGTCGGGAGACCAGTCGAAAACGTAGAGCTTGTCCCAACTGGGTTGCTGCTGTTGCGAGATTCCTGGTTCAGGAAAACTTCGCCAGCCGACATGCAGTTCGGCGACGGAACTTCCTATCCTGTGGGGAACATCACACCCACCTTCCGTGATAAAAAACATGCATTACACTTACGGGATTAATGAGCACCGCACTCGACCGGGAACAACATAACCAATCGATCATAGCTAGGAGATCGCTATTTCCACCTTATTGCGACCGCCCAGCCTCCATTCGCATACCGACTGCAGAGCGTTCTTTTCGTCGGCAGGTGGCGCAGCGGCGACTACTCCGTCATCCCGGAGCCGCGCCTCACGCCGCGCCCCAGCTACTGGCACCAGGCGGGCAACGAGCCGCTCACGGGCAAGACCCTGGGCCAGCTGGCCGAAGACGCGGCCAGGCTGTGGCCTCAGCGCGAGGCGGTCGTCTCCATGCATCAGGGCCTGCGCCTCACGTTCCAGGACACGCTCAAACAGGTGCGCCCTCCGCCCACGAGCCTCCCGACGTTCTCTCCGCCGTTGCTTTTGACGTCACGCGGCGCGGGGAGCGGGAGCGCATAAGATAGACCCTGCCAGAGGCGTATGTATTCAGACGACCATATCAAGCCTAGAACCCTATAAAGCTCCGTACAGGATTGGGGGGTAGCAAATTAGGGCTGTTTATTTGTGTTAGCAGGTATAATCTAAATGGCGTCCCTTGTGAGTGGCGCCCATGGCAAGTGCCGTGTCTGCCACACCGTAGATACGCCTCTGAAAAAACGATACCATCCGGGAGAAGTTTGCAATTTACAATCTAAATGGCAAAATCGAAGGATACAGAAATAAATGGAAAGATCCTGTATTAAGGATTGAAAATAATCGTTTGCCCAAGCAACTCCTCTTGATGACCTTCCGTAGAAATTGCATTGCAATAACTTCAACAGTTCAAAAATTACAGGCGTTTGCTAACTTACCGTGACTCCCCTGTCTCTTCTCTCTCTCTCTCTCCTCGTCTCCTCCACTCTTCGCCTCTCGTCATCTCTCTCTCTTCCTCATATATATATATATATATATATATATATATATGAGGGGAGGAAACTTCGACAATAAACTCTTAAGTCAATAAGCATATTTTGTCTAATAAACTGCTAGAATAATCCGAATGGATGAGCCGCAATAAGCACTTAAAAGTTGGTTTGAAAAAATTATTTCTAGGCAAAAATTTGCATTATACAAGCATAGAAACACTACATAAACAGTAATTGTTTTTATTTACAAAAGAAATTAATATATTTGTTCAGAAAGAAAAATTAACCCAGAAATAAAAAAGTACCCAATTTACACAATTTTTATTTCTATAACAAATATATTCACACACAAGCGAACAAGCGTTCGCGCGCGCGCGCACACACACGCATACACATTTATATACTTCTAGTGTGCGTACACACAGGTGTGTACTTGCAATACGAGGAAGTCAGGTGTGGATCGTCCGAGAAAAAACAAAATATGGCCCGCAACCATATTAAAGGTTTTAGTTATGGCCATTGATGTCTTGCAAGTTGGACACCCCTGATTTAAAGGAACCCGTGAACCTTTCAGCTTGAAGCTGGTGTTTTAATTTTGGGGGATAATTTACATGAGGTTTCAACATTTTCTCAAAAATGGCCCAATTTTTTTGAATTATACATTGTATTTCGACAGCGTAAAAGACGCTTAAAAGAATGTCAGAGGTCTCATTTTCATTGAAATTCCTTTTTTTCTCATTTCGCAATTTGAAAATATTTTTCGGTGCGAATTTTCGGAAATGCGAATTTTCAAAAGTAAATATACTTTCTGTAACACGTAGTGGATTCAGAATCCATGTTGAAATTTAGTGTTGGGAATAATGGGAGAGACAATGAGTGTAATGTAAATTACAGTTTACAAAAAATAAGCGAAAAATCTCAATGTGTAAATTATTTTTCAAGGCAGGAGTCCTAACGAGATTTTTTTTGTTCGCAGGCCGATAAATTGGCTGCTGGACTCAGGGGGCTGGGTATGCAACCTGGTGACAGGCTTGGCCTATGTGGACCCAATTCAGTTGAATGGTATATCACCAACCTTGCAGCTGCCAGAGCAGGTCTAATTCTTGTAAGTAGAACGTGCGCAGTGAAATTCATCTAAGTAGAAATCTTTACTTATCAATGTGTTTAATAAAATGTGGCTTGAAAATACAAACATTTGTATTTTAGGAAATATTAGGAATATATTAGGAATTTAGGAAACTTGAATTAATGAAACTGCAATAAGATGTTTTAAATAATTTTTTCTACATTGCAGGTAAATATAAACCCTGCATATCAAGTAGCTGAACTTGAGTATTGCCTATCAAAAGTGGGTGTGAAGGCCTTGGTAGTGCCAGAGACATTCAAAAGTCAAAATTATCACAAGATGCTTCAAGCTATTGCACCAGAATTGGCATCATGTCAACCAGGGAAGCTTCAGAACGACCGAATACCTACCCTGAAATCTATTATTACTATCAGTGATAAAGAATTGCCGTAAGTTTTTCATAAAAACAACCCTTTCAACTGATGAATGTCTTCAAAGCAATCAGAAGGGGATTAAGCTAGGCTGATGCTCTGGGCGAGATACGAAAATATTGTGCGGTCATCATAATGTATTTTTTATTTACCTACATAAGTAGACTAATAAGTACAAGTAGATAAATAAGAAAATAATAAAAGTCAGCACTCAAGGCGCACAGGCAGCCATTCAATCTGCTTCTGAATGCTTGACTGATTGATTGATTAACTGATGTAATGATTTGTATTGGTTAACTGATACACAGAAATAATTTATTTGTTTAAATGTTACAATGGATACATTATTTATTCACCTTATTTCTGATTATATAGGGGAAGCTTCAAATTCAAAAATTTGTTCAAATCTATCAACCCAGACGATCTTTCAGAGGTACATCAGTTACAATACAAGATTCAACCTGATGCTGGATGCAATTTACAATTTACCTCAGTGAGTAAATTCGTATGATATACAAAAAATGCTATATATGGAACGGAATGGTTTAATAATATTATTCAGGTGCATAAGCTTGTTCTAAAATAATAAATATGTCTTACAATTCCAACGATTAGTTTTGTATTTACATAGAGACAGTATTAATTATATTTTTACAGACATATTTCCATTGGGTATTTCAATTTGCAGGGCACAACTGGTCTGCCAAAAGGCACCCTTCTCAGCCATCACAATGTTGTAAATAATGCGTACTTCGCAGCAAAGCGCTTAGGCTTTCATCATAAGGTATTTTTTTATTAATTAAAATATTACCTCTATGCAGAATGTAACAAAACTAGGTATCAAAAATTACATCTATGCAGAATGTAACAAAAGTAGGTGGCAAAACTTCGGGATTGTATTAGTCATCAGAAAGGAGATAGAGAAAGTTCATTAAAAATGTACGGTCAAAATATTTAATTTGCGGGTGGAAAGAGGTACTCAGTCGACATCAGATTTATTCACAACATTACTATGATTTGTTCAGTGCTGTGATTGTTAGAATACCAAGGAAGTGTTCAAAACTGATTTAAAATATATTCTATAACCCAATTAAATTGGTGCTGTAAACTTGCGCCTACGCGTCATCCTCGACGGTGTGTACCAGTCTTCTCCAAAATTTGCTCGCGTATGCGTCCATCCTTCACTCGAAAATTGTCCCCTATCCGATAGCTAGGTGCATTCCCCATCGACAACTAATTTTGATTTCAATTATCATTCATTTTGATATTTAACACAAATAAAACTAATACAAATTCCTTTTATTGTTAGGTAATTTAGTTTTGCTAATGCACGGGTTACACGCAGGCGTTGTGTAATTATTTGAGGGAGTTCACGCCGCCGTTACGAACGAGCCCTTAGGGGCATAGATGAACACACGGACGGACGTTTTGTTGTAAACCAATTTTTTGGTATCAAGGATACACAAAACGTGGATTTTGATTACACAATGTGTTAGGGGAAATAATTTACTATATATATGGACAAGAGTTACCCACTTTATCGGTATCATGTCCCCCTAACACGAGTTTTTCTTACGAAAATATGCCACTTTCCGTTGCAATACAAGACTTTATCTTTACAACGTAATGTAGAGAAAAGCTGCAGAGGTATCTGTTACGGCTGCGTTTTGAAATTCCAGTAAATAATTTATCAGATCAACATCAGTTTTATTTGCAAATTGATTATATGTTCAGTCATGTGAGCGGCTTTTCGACACTCATCAATGTCAGTTGTACGGCATGGTCGGCGAGTAACTCTTAGAAATGATTCCCATTCATTTCACAATGTTGGCTAACTTGTACTAAACACTGTTGAACTTTCGTATTTTCGTCATCACGACCACTGGAGAACGATAGCATGAAATCAATTAATTTATGTAGATAAAATTCAAGAAAAGTACAATTTAAAACCCCTTAAAGAGATATTATTTTCATCCATAATTTTATAATTAAAATGCAGTCTATTGCCAGTTTAATTAAAAGCATCATGAAAGTAAACAACGCGAGCCCTTTGACATTCGCTGCTTATGGCCTGCTCGTTGATATCCGTTTGATGACTCAAATTCTCACGCAGACATACGCTCATCTACTTTTCGACAAGATTTATACATTCTCATAATATTCATTTTAGTGACGATATCGGGACAGTGTAAAAATTCGTTAAACAATTCTTAATCTCTTACTGCCCACACTGTACCGATCCTTTGCGGCATTAACCGCTCGGCTCATATAGCTGGCGGAAGAACACACTTCGCAGAGAGATGCTCGTCAAAAAAGCGTCTACTAGTCTGAATAAACTCATATAATGACTGTAAGCATAGTGTGACATAATTGTCCTACGATCTAGACAGGCAATATAATTAATAAATGTTCGTAAAACTCGCATTAAAACAAGTTTGGACAACTCTGTAATTAGTTAGCGTTTCATGACCCTTATTGTCCAGACCGTTCTTTCTTGTCTGTACAAAGAATCTATTTCTGAATTTTACCGATGAATTTTGTTATATTCTGTGTAAATAAAATGTTTTCATCAAAACAGAATGAATAAGTACAATATGATGTTGCTCATGCAATTATGATGATGAATAACTAGCCCCGCCTTTATCTATTTGCGGTCACATCGATCTGCAAACAATTAATGTAATTTAATTTAGTATTTATTCATACATTCAAACATTAATGCAATGTTTCTCACATTCCCGTTGTCCTCGGCAATTACTGTGAGGGTTATCTAGAATTTTATTGCCTATTGCATGTTTTGTTTTGTTTGTTTGTTTGTTATTTAATGTCGCATCAACTACTAGGTCATTAGCGACCACTATTGCTTGTAACGGTATGGTAACTGTGGGTTGACACGATAATGATGATGATAGGGGGTGAAAGGACGAAACACAATACAACCATGCCCGAGGCGGGTCTCGAACCCGCGATCATTCGGTCCGAGTTCGCTACGGCACTACTGCTTTAGCGATCTCGGCCACCGGATCGGCTGCATGTTTTGTGATGTATATGTTAACACATTTTCCCCAACCCTTTACCAGACGCGCCTATCTGTATCTAAATCATTACCGGGCGCGCGGTGATGTTTAGACAGCACAATACAACTTGATATTTTGTTTGGAAATCTCTTCAGAAGGTTTTACTCTTTATATATCGTAAATAATAGTACGTCTATGATATTTTTAAAAATTATACTTAGTAATTGTCTTGAACCTGGCAATAAAGCACCTCTTCATTATAAAAAGAAGTTATGATGCCAAGTGTGGTCATCTTTCTTAGTCCTAGTTATAATGTATTTTTAAAATAATTTTTGTCGTTTTTGAGAACTTCTACTACGCAAAAGCAGGGTATTTTCTGGTAATGGCAGGATTGTTGCATTCTATCCTTCACAAAATTACTTATGTGTTTTTATTTTTAAAATATGTTTTACATTTAAGTTCCTCTTAACTATACTGAAAATGTGTTTTAGCATCATCGAATATGCTTGCAAGTTCCTTTATTTCATTGCTTTGGAAATGTTTTGGGAATTATTATGGCCTTACATGCCGGAAGCACATTAGTGCTACCTTCATACTCATTCCGTGCAGAAGACTCAGTCAATGCTATTGCAAAGGAAAGGTAAATATTGGTAAATTAACATTAATAATTATAATAAATATTTGTAATTATAATAGTAAGCTTATAATGTTTGCTTTATACTAGGCTCTTGCAGCAGCAAGAAAACCTGCTTAACGAAATCACATAAAATATTTTTCCAGAATGTAGAAAGCACACTGCTCAGCAAATAAAATACTCTCGCATAACATTTTAACAAATTCAGACTTCGTGAATACTGTGATAAAGTATAGTATATACAAGTATATATTTTATCTCGCAATCCATGTCTGGGAGAACCTGTTCTAGTGATAATTTGACATCCATGTATCGTTACCTCCAATGAAATTCAGCCATGGCACAATCAGCCGGGTCCTAAGCCGCAGCTACTTTACTGTTCCGTGTTTTCCCGTTCAAGATGCAACACAGTCAAGTACGGAGCTCACAGGTCGGAATCTGTTTGGGCTGAGTGAAGCAGGACAGGTGGGGTGGGGACATGAGTGGGAAAACAAAATGAGTTTCTGTCCAATATGCTCTAGAAACAATACTGTGGTATAGAAGATGTGGGGGGAAGCTATGACTAATTATGTATTAACCTTAATGTAATTATAATTTATTTTATGTTGCATCTCGCCTAATAAAAATCGTTGGGAGTGTAATTTTCCTCTTCTAGAATACACAAACACACACTATAAATAACGCACTAAGACTCCTTCCCGCTCCCTTAAGGATTCATTCTGGGGGTCCTCACGAGTGAACAGGAAGCCGAACAGTAAACTGCATTTAAGCTGAAAATTCTACTCTATATTTTGGATTTCAGTTTTAGAGTTATTCACTGACCAAATTTGAAAATGAAGTGGAATGGTTTTGGAAAAACAGGTTGAGATCAGTGATCAATGAAATCACATTATCCATTAAGATCTGAGCATCAAGTTGTCTTATAATTCCAATTCCAATCAAGGAATATGTGAGAATTGAGATATTTTAACTTAATGAATGTATGATTGGGTGAGCCTAATGAATAATGTCGAAAATGAAGGGAGATGAACAAATACTTTTGTCTGACAGTGTTCAATGTTACTTGGTTTTTACAATGATGTTGAAAAAGTATAAGAGATAGGATCAGTAACTATGCATTTGAGGAAAAATTCTACTCTTTATTTTATATGAGGAAATAACAAGCACTATTTCTTTTTGTAAAATTACTTTTGAGATTGGAGCAGCATCTGAATGTATAGAGCCAAATGTTGTGGGTTCAAATTCCACAGATGACATTGGTGTTTTATCTATTTGTTCATTGGCTTCTCATATCACCATTAATTCACCTGAACCATCATCATTTAGTAGAAGGTATAAACAAACTTTATCTGTGATTATCTGTCCAAACTTTATCTGTGAATAGAGGGGGCACAAAAGCATAACCCTCTTCTCTTGGCTACTCTTGGAGACTTGACTACTAAGTTACTCATTGTCATCATCATCATCACATCATCACATCATCACATCATCACCAGAATTAGGTATACCTTAAAGAGTCATCTCTAATATTTCATTGTTTTTCTCAGCTGCACGATAATATATGGAACACCAACAATGTACATTGATATCATGGCCAAGTGTCAAGACTCACCTGCCTCGTTATCTTCTCTGGAGTTTGCTATTACAGCTGGATCACCCTCGCCTCCCAATTTGTTCTATAAAATCGCAAACACACTTGGATTGAAGAAATGTTATGTTAGTATTGTAATACTTATAGCAGTAGTATGTCTTAATAGTTTTGTAGTACAAGGCATACAATATTAATGAAATTTTTATTTAACTTTAAAAAATAAATTTATTTTAAAAAGTATATTTTCTTTGAAGTACATTTACGAAGATTTTTTATCATATCCACGTTAATATATTTATTAATAGTATAAGATATAAATATATGTGGGCCTATACCAAATGTTTATCTTTTACTTCCTTTATTATTTATTGTATATGATTTTCATGTACTAAATTCTACTTCTCTTCCTACAGTCGGTGTACGGTATGACTGAAACCAGTCCTTTAAGTTTTGTTCCTGATTATGATGATCCTTTGGAACAGTGTGCCAAAAGTGTTGGAAGAGTTATGGATCATTGTGAGGTAAAATAACCTAGTTGAGAATTATGAAGAAACTCCATAATTTTTTGTCTAAGAATCGTTTCGATAAATAATACGTTTCATATACATACTTTGCATTCTGGTATTTCCAATGTGATTCCCAACCATTTTTTTCTTTAAGAAATTATAAATATAAAGTATAAAATTACAGAACAGCTTCCCTGAAATAAATTACCTATAATAGATTATCATTATATATTATACTTCTCTGTTAAGATTTTGTCGGTGGATCTGGAGTGCTGCTAGAGACAAAGACACATCATACCATAACAAATAACTATACTATTCACTGCTTTACAGGAACATAACACTGCTTTACACTTCTGATTCAAGATCGCACACACTGCATACCATTGGCATGCTTGCCAAAGAATACAAAGCCACAGAAGTGGCATCTACTTTTAACCTATGAGACCGAAGTTCTATTTATTCCTAACATTTCCCCTTAAATAGAACATTATTATATATACACAGTTCATATCAAAACACAAATATGATATTTAACGTTTCCAAGCACTTCAAGTGTTTCGGTTTTGGCACAGTCTTGGTGAGAACATCTGCAGTTATGACACCAGAGGATAAGTGCTGCACTTTTATTTCCCAGGATTCTAAAAGGTCACGTACAAAATTATGTTTAATGTCTATGTGTTTGATGCGTCCATGGTCCATGTCGATGTCCTGCATTGGTGGCAAATTTTGAGCTCCCATGTTGTCGTTGTAGTTGTTATGGCTGTAGATCCTCTCACGTCCATTTCTGTCAAGAATCGTTGAAGATAGACTGCCTCCTTAGCGGTTTCACCCAGAGCCATGTACTCTGACTCGGTTGGGGATAGTGCGACAGTCCTTTGTTTTCTGGACACCCAGGACAAGGCACTTCCATTCCAGGTAAATATGTAGCCGACGAATGAACGCCTATCATCGTGATTTCCTCCCCAATCTGCATCTGTGTATCCAGTGAGGTCAGCTTGCTCGGAGTTGAAACGTAGACCCAGATTCAGAGTTCCCTTGTGGTACCGAAGTACCTTTGGCTGCTGCCTAGTGACTCGTCCCATAGCAATCATTGTATTGGCTTAGGACACTGGCAGAATGCGATATATCCGGTCGAGTGTGATAGCCAGATACATCAGGACGCCCACCAGCTCACGATATGGCGGTTCATCACCGTCAGACTTCTTCCATTTTCAGACTTGGTTTGCTTGTTGCCTACATCTAGTGGCGTAGCGACAGGGTTGCAGTCCAGCATGCCAAAACGTCGAAACGTCAAATACCCTTTATGTATCTAGTCTAAGTGATAGAGATTCCATCCTTGTCTCTAATGAAGTCCATGCCTAGGCAATTCTTTAAATCGCCCAGTTCGTTCAATTCCAATTTCCGGCTCAGGTACTGTCTGCAAATACTGATATCCTCCAAATTCTGAGATATGACAAGGATATCGTCGACATACACTAGAATGATGTGTTGATGACCACTCTGCTTCTTCAAATAAAAACAGGGATCCGAGTCGGTTGGTAATGCGCCAAAGTTGCGAAGATCTTTCTCCAATCGTTTGTGTCACACTCAACGTGCCTGACGCAGCCCGCAGAGAGCTTTGTACATGTAACAAACCTTGTTACCCTTGGACAGCTTCTCGAGCATATCTTCAACCTTCTTCGTGATGTCGCTGTTCTTCTGCTCCCTCCGGGTGATCATCTTCAACATATCCACAGTGTATTCAGGTACCTCCAGGTATACCTCCTCTTCCAGAACGCCGTTGAGGTACGCTGCTGATATGTCGAATTGGTGAATGTGCATATTTTCCCGCACTGCCGAACAGCCCGAAAGCCTCCCGGAAATCCGTGCCAGGACGTTGAGAAAAACCTCGCGCTAAGATTCTTGCTTTCCTCTTCTCAAGCTTACCATCGATCCCGTACTTGTTGAATAACATAACTCTGCTTCCGACGACCTCACGATCCTCTGGTCGATCCACGACGATCCAGGTGTCGTTTTTTCAAGATGGATGCCGTCTCGTTCGCCATAGCTCACATGCAGTCAGCAGATTCCGCACTTGAGATGGCTTGCCTCAGAGGAATTTCTGACAAAAATGCGTAGCATCCGTGCGCTTGATCTGGCTCGACAGAAACCTCATTGTACTGCTTCCTAGGTCTGGCGGGCTGTCCTGTCTTCACCTTCTGCGGTCTCCCTGGTACTCGACTGGAGGTCGCCGGTTGGATTTCTTCCAGTAAATCTTCGGGCTCAAAACCACGAAAGTTGAGTTTGGTGCCTGACTCCTTCTGGCGAACTGTCTTCTCACTCGAAGCCCCGAAAACCGGTTTCGTTAGTCGTGGAGTTCGGCGATTCCTTCGATGCTCCATGCCTAAAGTCCGTTCGGTGTCAAATCAACGTCAATGTGCGAACGAGGATCGGCCTCCGTTTTTACATACTCGAACCTCTCGCAACCAACGACATTTGGTCTGTTGAAGTTCTCTCCTGTGATGCCAGGCGGTAGTTCAACTAACTTTACTTCTACTCGTCTCTCGCTTGGGATTCAGACTCTGTACTCCTTTGCCTCTTCAGAATACCCAAGGAATATACCTTCTCTCGATCGCGGTGCAAATTTGTCCTTGTTTGCGGAGCGATCGAGGCAGCAAACATTACAGCCGAATTCATGAAACTCTGTTACGTCAGGTGGAACACCGAACCAGATTTCATACGGAGTCTTTCCGCTTAGTTTGCTGCAAATTCGACGGCCATGTAAACAGCCTCTGCCCAAAACGATGGAGGCAACTTGGACTGAGCAAGTACACACGGGCCGTTTCTACGAGGGACAGATACTTGAAATGCTATTGCAACTCCGTGCAAGCTGCAACTCCATTTTGCTCCGGGTTGTGAAGTGCAGAAAGTCTTGTTTGGGTTCCCGAACGTGCGAGGGCTTCGTCGAATTTGCGGTTCACGTACGCCGTTCCATTATCTGTTTGAAGACATTTTATCTTCACCTCCTTTTGGGTCTCTTAGCGAATTCTGAAAGCTTCGAATTCATCGAACACGTCGCCTTTTTGCTTCAGGAATTTCACCTCGATACGTCGTCGATGAACGTCTAAAAGTCCCAGCCTTTCGAAGTGATGTCGTCCGTACAGGGCCGCACACGTCGGAGTGAATTATGTCATCGATGCGAGATTCTCTCTACGACGAACCATCTTCCCTTAAAACAGACCTCTCATTCGAAATCACCCTCGACATCATTGAGCTTCAACCCCTGGATAGTTCTCTTCCTAGCTTCTTCGCGTAGATCCTGTATATTCAAGTGACCAAGTATGCGGTGCCATTCTCACAAGGTCTTCTAAGGAGCCTTCATAGCGTTGTCGTTGCTAGCAACACTTCTGCAGTCCTTGTCTTGAGATTGAATATAATACAGCCCGTCGACTCTCTTCGCCCCGACGGCTACATTTCCCTTTGAGACAATCACTTCTGCAGACGTCTTATTGAAGGTAACACTGAATACGTTGTCAGTGATTTTTCCCACTGCAACAAGGTTAGAACGCAGGACCAGTACATGAAGGGCGTCCTTCAGCCACACAGTTCTGTCGGCGTCGTCAAGAGTCGTGGTAAGTTTTGTCACGCCCTTAGCCTTTATTTCGGTGCTCGCTCTGCCGGCAAGATTGAGCTAGTCTTTCACGTCCGCGTCAATTCTCGCGAAATCACCCATATCTTGGCACAGATGTACGGAACATCCGCTATCCAGGCACCATATCCTTTCTTCTTTCGGGTCCTGTCCCAAACACGCCTCGAACGGGTTGTCTGTAGGCGAAGCGAGAAAACTTATGCCCTCCGCATTTCTTGCGTTCGGTTTTTCGCTTCTGCAATCCGTCGCCTTATGACCAACTTTATAGCATCTGTGTCATTTGAATTTAAAGGGCTCTTTCTTGGACCTTTCACACTTTTCGTTGCCATTTTTCTTGAAGTTCTTCTTCTTGTAGTTGTGTGCTGCCATCGCATTCTGTGCTGTGCCGTGGTTGTCGGCACATTTCCTCGCGTCAGTTTCTACTACGATTTTGATGCGCAACGTCTCCGGGGGCGGTAAATCGTCGCGGGATTCTATTGCACACTGGAAACTCTAGAAGCTGTGCGGCAAACTATACGGCAACATGATGGCGTGTAGGACGTTGTTGATTTCTATGTCCTTGTCGCGAAGATTGTCCACAGATTCGAAAAACCGCGAGAGATGACCACGCACTCTCTCCCCCTCCGTCATCTGTAGCGTGAGCTGCTTTAGCAGGATTGCTTTCCGCGCGAGCCCTTTGGATTGGTAATTATTTTCGAGCCTTAACCACACTTCACGCGAGGTAGAGCAACCTTTTACCTGCTTCAACTCCAAAGGGTGGATGGAGAGGACCAGATCAGATTTCGCCTTGCTATCGGCTTCCGTCAACGTCCTTATTCTAGCTCCAGAATCAGCGTCGTTTTCAAGACGTTCCGGTTTGGTATGATTTTCGTCGACGTATTTCCACGCGTCGTTCTTGATTATAAGGGCTTCCATTTGAATCTTCCATGTGTCAAAATTGTCCTTGTTTAGCGTTTCAATACGCGCTAAGCTTCCCGGATTCATTTTTGTAACACGCTCATTCTTTTGTTTACCCTCTAATCGATCGCGCGAATGTTTCCGTTACGTATCACTTCGCGGCACTCACTAACGCGAATCCTGGGCACATATCCTGTTAAGATTTTGTCGGTGGATCTGGAAAGCTGCTAGAGACAAAGACACATCATACCACAACATATAACTATACTATTCACTGCTTTACAGGAACATAACACTGCTTTACACTTCTGATTCAAGATGGCACACACTGAACTGGCATCCTTGCCAAAGAATACAAAGCCACGGTAGTGGCAGATACTGCCAGCCTATGAGACCGAAGTTCTATTTATCCTTACATTATCTTCCCATTAACAAAAATGAACATATTCTTTAAAATTCTTTTGGTTAAGCCGTTCTCATTTGTGTATTATTTGGTTTCCAGGTGAAGGTTGTTGATTTGGACAATAAGATGGTGCCAATGGGGACACCTGGTGAATTGCTAGTACGAGGCTATGGCAATATGCTATGTTACTACAATGATGTTGACAAAACACAAGAGATAGTAGGACCAGATCGTTGGCTGAGAACTGGGTAACAAAATTTACTATATTCAGTACAATTGTACTGAAGCCACTTCTCAGATGTTTTGTTGAATTGAAAATTATAAAATACAAATGTATAAAATGAACCAACTTATTCTTGACTCTGAGGTACAGATTATTTTTTGTGAGCTTCTTAATTATTATTTTAAAGACATTAAAATGATCACTAAAAGTAATAATGGATGTAATCAATGCTTGATTTCTGGCAGAACATGACTGAATAGCGTTCCAGTACCTCAGGAATAATTATTAAAATTTAATTTGCCAACTGCACAAACGTTTAGGGGCAAGGGCCTCCTGCTTATGGAGGGAATTATTAATCCTTTAATGAAGTGATAGGATGATGATGAACGGTGAAGGGATAATCAGAAATACATCCATACCCAAGATGGGATCCTTCGACCTGAGATCGCCATTACATTACTGACTTAGCGATTTCGGCTATTAAAATACATATATTATAAATATATATAATGATTTCTATTAAAATAATAATTAATTTGGAGTGTGTGCTGGGAATTTAAATTTTAATAAATCAAGCACTGGATGTACTGGATGGAAATAGTGGTGATAGATTAAGGAAAATCTTAATGCAATTTGATTCAATGAAATTTGAGACAAAAATAATATGATGAAACTGAATACATGATTGAGAACTCCCTTTTGCACTTTCATGATCCATATCTATGTGGTTAGCCAGCATGCTATTCGTATTTTGCAAATACTCCTTCTTAGCTTAATATTCTGTGAAAGCTCTTTGGGCTTTTGATTTTTAAGTTCATCATCATCAGCATGATTTAGACTAATCTTGCCTGTTCCCGTAATGTTGCCTAGAGAAGGCCATCTGTAGAATAAGAATAAGAATTTAAGAATAACAAACTTTCTTCTGAAATGAAATATGCACAACTACACATGGGCACCAGAGACTTAATAACAGTTAAAGTCTACTTCTTAGTCAATCAAAAGATGGTACCATGGGTCACAAACACAAGAGTTTTTAGAGGTTTTGATGTGAGTACTGACTGCTTTCTTCTAGCATGCTCATTATGATTACCAGAAAGATGGGTTAAAATTACGACATAAGAATGTTTTAATGGCAGTGCTCCTAAAGCTTTTAAAACTAGCTAAAAGACAAAGGAATACAAAACTCTACCAAACAAGATTAACACAGTATTTGGAGCAGAAAATAATTAACAAAAATATTGATCAATAATATTGAATATGTGTTACAAAAGCTCCATTGGAAGCTCTCCTATATGGATATGAAACTTGTGTAATATCATTTACGGAAAACAGGAGAATTAATCCAGAAGAAATGCCATTATTTTGGTATGTCAAGGGCAGCACATTAATGGACCATATCAGAAATGAGAATATATGAGAAGAATTGGTAATTATCAGCTTACAAGAGAAGATGAATATTTCTAAAAAACTCGATAGACCATTTACAAAAAAAGAACAAAGAGAGATAGCCCCAGCAGGCAGCCTACTATTTCCCAAAAGGAAAAAGAGAAGTGATTTTTAAGCTACTGATACAAGCAGTTCTCCAGTGATCCTTATGATCTATTACACACTCCAGGTCATTAAAGTTCAAATTCTGACACTTATATTCCATTGATAATTGCTTTTGTGAAAATAGTCTGACTTTTTTAACAAATTTTTCATCCAGTTCAATTATTCATAAAGGCAATAGCCCTATGGAAGGTTAAATCAGCTCTTCTGTTACCTCAAATAATTCAACTTTTTTGGTTCTATTCTTTTAAAGATTATTAACTAATAAACTTAGACTTAGAAACATATTAAACATATTTGTCCTTGAACTTGCACAGAGGTATGATATTTGTGAAAATAAAATGATAATACATGTTTGAATCAGTTCCTGCACTACCACTGTTGCAAATTTTGTTGGAAATTACGTTTGTCATTTAACTGAGCACATCAAATCAAACAAAAAATTGTAATTAATTATTTACATACACCTTTTGTGTAATATGTGGCCAGAATTTCCCATTTATTCCACACCCCTCTATTTTATACACTCCCATACTTTTACATGTGCTTCAATTTTGTTATTAATAGTTCATAGTACTTCATTTTGTGTCGTATAATAGAAGATCTAGCATTTACTGAAGAAGAGATGTTTTTCTTTGATTTTCCAGAGATCAATTTATTCTTCATGAAAGTGGGTATGGTGAAGTTGTAGGACGTATTAAAGATATGATAATTAGAGGTGGAGAAAATATCTTTCCAAAGGAAATAGAAGATTTTCTTATTACACACGGAGATATTGTAGATGCACAGGTTATTCTCTTTTTCTACTACAATTTACTCTCTTAATTTTTAAATCCATGAATGCATTAAAATTTATCTGCTTTTCAACAGATTATTGGTATCCCTGATGAGCGTTATGGTGAAGAAATATGTGCTTGTGTTCGTTTGAAGCCTGGCAGCCAGTTATCTGAAGAAGACCTAAAAGGCTTTTGCAAAGGAAAGGTTAGAAAGATTTCTTTAGCTAATAATGGAAAAATATTTAATGTTCTTTTGTTAATGAATTATTACTTTGGGATTGTTAAAAATTGTTTAATGTTTCAGATTGCCCATTTCAAGATTCCTAAGTATGTTAAATTCATGAATGATTATCCTAGAACACAGTCTGGGAAGGTACAAAAATATAAGTTACGTGATATGATCTTGTCACGAGGAATAAATTCATTATAAGTTTGTCCAAAGTATTTGTAGTTTTAAACATATGAAATGTAAAATTTTCTGCTGTTTTTATGTTCTATTCATGTTAAAAATAATTTCATAATTTCTTAGGATATTAAAAGAAATCAAATTTGCTCAAGAAGACAAGGGTTAAAAATAAAATTTCCCAGATAAGAGTTATCATCACTTCTGAATTATTTTCTGTGGAGATTTGATGAATGTTTTCTTGTGGGTTCCTACTCATGGATAGAAATGGTGCTATGAAATATTTCTTGGTGTTGTGAGACAATGCATTGCAAACAATATTATATAACCATATAATTTCTTTTATATGGAAGATCTTTCATATAGTGTGTGTATTTTAAAATACTTTCCCAGTCCTTTGACTGGTAGCAGTATTACCTATTTTTATTATTTAACCTTTTTGTGTATATGTCCACATTCAGTTTCCAAATGTTATGTGAAAGTTTGCTATGTCTCAATAATGTATGTATTTAATAAATGATGAAGAATTGTTTATAGCAGGCGCCATGATTTTACAATTTAGTTGGCATCTTAGGACATTGATAAATTACATTTTTAATGTTTCTATAAAATGTAAATTCTTAACTATTTTATGTGGTATCCTTTCGTATTTATTATTGAACTACAGCTGACTATGAATTTATAGCACCTAATTTGTTGTCAAATTTTCAAAAAATAGAAATATTATAATAAAAACAAATTCTTTAATATTTGAAGAAAATTTTTTTTAATATTTCCTCTGCCAATGAAATGTAATTGATACTGCATTTTGCATTCATTACATAACATTGCTAGCATTGAAATTAGAGAACATGATATTTTGATAAACATTTTTAATGTATAATAAGAATCTTTTATTTTTACAAATAATTATTGATTTATTAAAAAAAGAAGCAAATATTTTTATACCATTCTATTCAAAGACAGCCTAGAGTTTGAGAAACACTTGCCATTACAGCTGATATGAAAAAGTTTAGTCCTCTTACATTTGTGGGAGAAAACACCTATTAATGACAATATGCATGGATTTTTCCATGTCCAGTAAATAATGAACATGGATCAGTTCAGTAAGTAGAATGTCCAAGAAAAGATCTTAATGTAGCCTGCAAATACATGTAATTTTAAAATTTCATTGTGTTTGTACATATGTTTATGTATCTAAGTTGTAGGGGCTACATGTTTACACTTATAAATTTAAAAATATATCTTGTTGTTTATTTTATAAAGTATAGTATCCCTTATTTACTCTGTACTACATATCACCTTTATAATTACTCTGTAAAGAAATTCTCTTTTCATACTTTTTAATAAACTATTAAATTATATAAAACCGTGTATCAATATTACTTGTACAATTGTTTGTAATAAAGGAGTTGAATGACCAGTTTATATTTCTTGTGCTTTTGCGAAATAGTGTGAGTAGACACACACAAAAAATTAATTCAAATAATTAATATTCAACAGTGAAAACTCTGATCTTTCCAGCATTGCTATCTGATAAAAAAATTGCAGATAACTCGTACTACTTTTCTAAAGAGTTCTTGTATGAATGTAAAGTACAGAACCAGGAAATTTAAAAGATATGTGTGAAGAGAATATTCAATTTAGAATTATTAATTACAGTAAAACCCCGCTTTTACGTTCTCGCAAATTACGTTTTCCTGGCCTTTACAATTTATTTGTCGGTCATATCAGTTTTCATATATTCTAATGTTATAAATACCCCGGATTTAGTATTGTATAATTTCAATTTTCCTGCAATTTACAACAGTCTGCTCTCCACAACACCGTCTGGAAAGCACTCCGCGTTGCGCAAAAGCACTGCCCCTGCACTTTCCCCAACTGCTAGGCCTATACAAATTTTGATTTCCGAACATTACAGAGGTATTTAAAAAGGTAGAAAAAGGGATAACATGCATTGGTAGAAGAATTTAAGGTCTGTGCACATGAGCATTTCTTTGAGTTGACGCGCGTCACGTGAGACTGAGGACGCCAGCTGCGTCGATGCGTGCGCACACGAGTGATAGGTTAACACTAACTTACCCGAAACGACACACGAGCGGTCTTGGTGACGTGCGTGGTTGCCAACGCTTGTCATGCGTTGGAAGCTAGAAATCGCACTTTAACTTGACTTACAGTGTAGCTTGAGCGTCTTGCTTCAGCTGTGGGCACAACGCACGTCGCTATGAGCGCTTGTTCCCTTTCGTAAAAGACAGTGTTAATCTATGACGCGCGTTATGTGACGTGTGCACAGCCATACACCTTAGGAGACGTGCGTAAACGCAACGCTCATGTTACAAAGGCCAAAAAGGGAGGCAGTGACAAACATTTGTTTATTTAACATCATCCTTCTTCACAATTTCACACTTTCTCATTCTAAAATAAACGTAATTTTTTTCCCATTCTTTAAAAGCTCAAACATCAAAGTATGAAATTGACCGTACGTTTTTAACTGTAAATTATTTTCATGAACACTCTTCCTATTATTTCATAAATAAATATATTTTAAAAAATACTATTTGGAAATCATAACGAACTACCAGAAACAAACATGGGTTTGAGAAAATTTTAACTTCCAATTTTTTCTCAGGGTAGAAATACCATTTTTCTCTTCATTCAACAATGAGTGCATTGGTTCATCATCAAAGATCAGTGGATCGCAGAGACTCGTGGAAGTGTCATTACGACATTTAAAATTCACTGTGCTTGTATTAATACGCCTTGGAGTTTCGATGTCGTAAATTTTGGTCAGATTTCTATTTGATCTAATACTCCATATTAAAGCATATTATAATCCTTATTGATTGTAGGTATCTAAATACATACTGTACTCATATTTTCGAAGGAAAAAGTCATTTTCCCTTATTTACACTAACCGCAATTTACACCTTTTTTCCCTAGAGTCCCATTAAAAGTGTATAAAAGCTTACTGTACTCGTATTATTTTGATTTTAAGCCCAAAAACTTGAAAATCTGTAATGATCTTTTTTGGAAATTGAAGTTTTAGTATTTTACTGATTTTTATGTCTTTTAGCTCGTATTTAGCTTCTAAAGTCTTGGAATTGATTCAGGATATTTTCAAGGACATTAAAAATATTAGCGTATAATAAAAGTATCGAAAACAAACTTAAAATGACAGAGAAACTGAGTTAGAAGCCAAATATGCATTCTAATCCCTAAAAACCCCTACTTTAGCCCAAAAATGGTTATTTTTAATTTCCGCGTTTCTGATTTCCAAAATACTTGAAAAAATATTATTTAGCTTATTTTTCACTGAAACGAAACAGTTTTCAATTCCAAACTAGAAGTCTGAAAGCTACGGACGTACTTGCATTTCTGTAGAAATAATGCGAGAAAATTTGTACTATTGTAGCCCCAGTAGTTTGTGGTTTTCTCTCTTGTCTTTGCAAGAACAAGTACTTTCAGAAGTATATATCTTAGTTTCTGTTTTCAATTCTTTCTCATGCAAACTTAACATACCCTGATGTTACCTATACCTTCATCTCCTGAAGGAACTTAAAAGCGAATTGTGCTCCTTCGGTATTATTCGTTATATATTGATTGTCTTCTCTTCGTTTCTATCTTGATGAGTCCAGTCGAAAAGTTCTGCGTGTTAAAGTCTCAAATAGCCCCCAAACCAGGTTTTATTGTAGCAGGTATATTAGAGCTTGAAAATTAATTAAATAAATATGAAATAAAGAGCTCAATATTTCAAAGCATTACAGAATATATTTTAAATTTATCCCTGATATTGCCAAAAATTGTAACTAACATATGACTCATCATCTTCTTCTACCACCTCTCCAACACATATCTTTGCCTTGGCATCTTTTATTATAACAGACAAATTTCTTCTATCTTCTGATTTTATTCACCTTCATTTAACACTTTCGTTTCTCAATTTTTCGTCTACCTCATCAATCCATCTTAATATGGGGCTTACCTCTTTACCTTTTCTAATTAATATGCTCTCAATGTATATCAATCTAATGGCTCTCTCTTTGTTCATTGGAATTAGGTGACCCAAACCAACTATTCTAGTCTTTTCACCTTAATACATGTAACATTTCGGGAGATTTAAATAGTCCTTGCAAGTCTGCATTCGACGTCTGCAGATTTCATTTCCTTTGATAAACATTTTTCGTAAGACCTTTCTTTTTGAGAAAGCGGGCAGTTCTTTGTTTGAATCCGAGTTCCACTACCATACGACACCACTGGCTTAATGATGACATTATATAATTTCAAGTTTGTGGTCTCTGAGATTTAAAGATTCGGTAGAGCCTACCATAACTACCCTGCTGACATTGAGGAAAGAAGATAGAGAAGGAAGAATTAGTTCTCTATCCTGCCGCTAATTTCTTCTGAATGTCGTGCGAGGTATATGCAGCGTCGTAGCTAGGGGCTGGCCAGGGGAACGGCTGCCTGAGGCGCAGTCCTCACGAGTGCCCACTTTGCAGACCCACAGCCTGCGAACCGCTGGAGCCCAGGAGCACAAAATTAAAACACGATGCTAACACATAAAAAGAACTTGAACTTGATTACGATAGGCATTCCTACAGATTAGAAACGGTGTCCCACGTCGCCTTCCCACGTCGCCTTCCCACGTCGCCACGGCGGCGCGCATCGGTCAACCGACAGAGCTCTTCGCTATCGATGCTCGCCACGCCGCACCGCCGCCCGCCGTGGAAAGGGGTGGGTTCTGCAGGGGGAGGTTTCGCCGACCCTCCAGCGACGACGAACAAAGTGTCCGCAGAAGGTACAAACAGCAGCTCTGCGCTGCGGCCGTAGCGCTGTGGGAAGCTTCCCATCTAAAGCTGTGTTCTGTTAGCGCGCACGCCTTCCTCCGCTTCGCGTAGCGAGAGTCCTCCGCCGCTTGCCGCAGCGGCGCAAACCCGCCTCACGTCGGAAGGTCTCCATCCAAACCTCTGCTACGAGTCGCGGTGTTCGGAAACGCGCTGCGGTGGCCCTTCACACGTCGCCACAGCGGCGCGTTTCCGAAAAGGGCGCCTTCCCACGGCGCGACCGCGGCGCGCTTTGCAGCAGCGCGGCGCGTAGCAGAGCATTGGTTTGAATGGAGGCCTTCCCACGTGCAGCGGGTGGCGGCTGCTGCGCAAAGGCCGTGACCGGCAGCGCAGTGGGAATACCACCGTTTAAAGCTGTATTCTGCAAGCGGTTTCGCGTATGCACTCCTGCGCTTCTCGTAGCGATCCGGCGCCGAACGCCGCAGCGGCGCAAACACGTGGGAAGATCTCCATTCAAACCAATGCTCTGCTACGAGCCGCGTTCGGAACTTCGCCCTGGCCCCTGTGGCGGCTCTTTCAAGGGGGCACGGGCGTCTACTACAGACCACATTATACCGACAAAACCCGTTTCCGTTGAGGTTGCATCAAAACACTTGCCGAATTGTAGATTTGTTTAATGATTTCAGAAAAAAAATTAAAAGACCGGGGTATTGAGTCAGCAAAAAATCTAGCTAACGAGATATAGATCGAACTGGAATTTTATGAAAAGGATAAACGAAAGGTTAAAAGAACAATGATCGCCGAAATGGTCAAGGATAATGCGGCTATAATGACTTCACTTCAAAAGTTTAAGATTCACCTTTTCTGTGCACTAGTCACCAGTAGCAGTTCGTGCTTAGCTTGCACGGTTGCACAACCCCCAGATATTTGAAAAATATCTCATAATATCTTAGGACGATCTTACTTTTGATGGCATTCAATATTCAAGATATTGAAGCAATATCGATGATTTTGAAACCAAAGAGCGTCCTGCTGTCGCTGTCCCCAGTGTCTGGTGCCTTGCCGGTTATTGAACCACGCTCTCGGCTTGTGGCTCTATTACTGAGTTTACTGCATTCACTCTTTGTCCCGGCGATTTAACACGGGGAAGATGCCGGCTTTTGGTTGCCCCACTTGCTGGAGGCGCTTTCTACCGCTGCGCGTCGACCGTAGAAGTCTAAGGGAATCCTAATATTCTTTCTTCGTGTGACTCGCCGCAACGTAATTTTATGAATTTCGCTTGTTATTGAAAGTTCACAAGTCTAGTAAATTATTAACGATAATGCATTGTTTATGATATTTTGAACATTTTCTTTCATTTGTTATTAGGTTTGTTTATTCAAAACGTATATTTGATGAGTTCTTTGTGTAAAGGTTGCGATCGTTCTTGCGAATGCGAAAGGGTGTCGAAGCTCTTTCATTATTGCCATATATACCAGGGGAGTTAAGTTTTCGTTGGGAGTTCTTTAGCTGAATGAAGCCTGAATAAGCCTATCCGCTAGTAATCTATTCCCCCCTACGTCACATATAGTTTTTATGTTTTTTGTTGACTTAATAAATCTAAATCTAATATCTGAAGTTATATGAGGTTTTACATGAAGTTCTGAAT